AAAATTAAAACTTTAACGCGTCAATTAATTACGACTAAAGGAAGAAAACGATGAATGCGAATATGGCCGCCATTGATTTTTTAAACTAAAGACTAGATGAAAGCTAGCASCATATTCAGAAGAGCAAGCAAAAATATATGATAATTTTTGGAAAGTTTAATTGTTCATTATATATCAGCAACATAGCAATGACTTTATCTGGAATCAAAGATTTGTATTAAGTGATGAATGGCAAGCCTCGTCCCTCACAAAAAATAAACAGGCTATACCAACAGCAAAACTCCAACACCTCCTACTCGAAACAAACAAAGAAATAAAACAAAATATAGCCGGATGAATTCATAACAGATACCTTCTCAACAAATAATTTTTTTTAACTGACTAATACGTTTCTGAACATACGAGGAATCCATTGAATTTTAGTTTAAATTTCAAATTAACTTTCTTGACGCTTTAATTAAGATTTCCATATGTTGCATATGAAAATTACATTTAAGAATGGTTATGGCTCTTGGTCATTTTGCTTGGCGCGCGAAGACTGCCTTAATTGTGCTGATTTGCAACAATTTGTAAGGTAGTCAAATGAAACGGATTCTTTTTAATAATGGCGGGTACTCAATGCTGGCAAACACTGATATAGTTTTTCATACGCAGCCTACATATACCAAGTGAAAGAGCACACACACATAAAACCGACCATTAAAAAAAATAAAATTGAATGGCAAATCAGTAATAAAACAAAATATATTGGATATCAATGTTAAATAATTTTATATGGATATCTGAGATCTTCGTGGTCTCGCTCGTTTATTCACCRTTTTCCATACATTGGTTCACTGGTCAAACACAAAGCGCTCAAGGGAGGCGCCAAGGTACTTTTCAAAGGATTGTTCAAATTTGAACCTTGCAACCTCGACTGAATGYTTTGTRGTTTGACCAGTGAACCGATGTATGGHAAATGGTGAATGAAACGTATTGATCACACTTCACAACAACTTCAACACCTGGGTTCAAACCATTTACTCATTAAACCATAAAACATCTTGTAGTTGTTTTAACAACTAAAAAACATGTTATAATTTTAGTTTTAGTTTAGTTAATTTGTCACAATATAAAAATACRCTTATTTCAATAAAGTTAGTCACCTGAAAAGCTATAAAGCTGAGACCGACAAGGATTATGGGCAGATACATTTTACATGTTTTAACCGCTTGATAACTGTTGATGGACTTGAGATCTTCTACCAGTTACAAATTCACCTCCTCTGAGCGTCCTCAACTGCTGCAGTTTGTKTCAAAAGCTTTACTTGTTGGATATTAAGCAATTATTGGGTGAGGTTGAGCATGATATCGTAAATTATCAAGACCGAGGCAGTGTTATCTGCCGAAGCCGAAGGCTGAGGCAGATAACACAGCCTCGGTCTTGATATTTACGATATTATGCGATACCGAATTCAATAATTGCTTTATTATACATTTTGTATAACATTAACATGAACATTAAATTATAGAGACAAGAATTATGAACGCCATGATGTAGCGTGAAAAACGCAAAAATTTTAATTCAAAAATATTTTTGGAATTCTTCATAAAATACATGAAAATAAGTTAAGGATTCCTTAAATAATTGTTTTGTACATAATTCTGGAAATAAATACACATAATGAATAAAAACAAAGCTACCACAGCGTGAGCTTGAATGAACTTGACATGATAAATGTATTATCTGTAGGAAAACCTACAGATAATACATTTATCATGTCGAGTTCACACAATATCGGGGATTGGCTGAGGGTTCTCGACCAATCAGATTTGAGATACTTAGTAAAATGTATAATAATAAATATTTCCCGTGATTATCAGCGATCACAGCTTTCTAGGTTTTTGGACTATTTTTTTTATTGAAATAAGTATATACATTTTATAAAACTTGAGACATACAAATTTTGTGACTGGCKWRSGAAGAAAACAGAACTTTCGTCCCAATTGATATTCCCTCTCCATACAATTTACATACAGTACAAACATAATAAAAAGAAAAAAATTAAAATTAATCAAAACTCAAGTCTAAAACATTTTAAGATGGTAAGTAATGTTCCATTTTGGAAGCAAAATGGGTGGTCACAAGTTCCTTACATTTGGAAAGGCTTACATCATTTATTTTAAAATGTATTGGTAGCGAGTTCCATAGTTTGATAGATCTAGGTAGAAATGAGTTAAGGTAATAGTCCTGTTTGAAGAGATTACGTTCTTGGAAATTGTTTTCGTAGTAGTTTCTTGAGGCAAAATTAGGTTTAGATACAGGCTGTAGACATGACTGCCTACTTTTGAACGTTCGATTTGAGCCCACGATGTGCGCGCGCTCAAAAACCGCTGAAAAATCTACAAGAATTCATTGAAGAACCACGCTCGTTTTGAGCTTCAACAGGGCAAGCGACCCTTAAATTTGCACGGGACTCTATTTTTCRATAGCTTATTTGAATAAACTTTTAAAAATCTAGGTTATATCTACATTTTAGAAAAAGTTAAATATTCTAACATTCTAAAAAATAGATTTTGTAGGGAATTTTGTTCGACTTTATGCGGAACTACAAAATATGACAAATCAATGTATCTYTTTGTCTTTTTGTCGAAAATATCCACGTATTATTGTAGAATGATTGACTAGCTTTCACTCATGCAATCATAGAGAATGCCAATAACTATTATTTTACGAATCTTAATTTTTTCTAATCACTTCCGATGATGCAGTTTTTGCTTCAAAAGCTCGCGCGTAGGCTTCCATTAAATGCTGATTATCTCGAAAACAAGCTCGGGACATCCAATTTTTCTTTCCAGATTTGGAATCAGTATTAGATTTCAATTCGGAAAATCGAAGTTTTATAAAAAGTTTAATATTTTTTGGAGTTTATTTCATCGTGTCTTAGTTTATGCAGAAGAATWAGGTCAGTTGCCTGTCGTATCGTCTATATTCAAGAGATAGGATGTCCAGTATAAATAATCTGTTAGTATAAGTCATATCGTCCGGATAGTTCAAGATAAACTCTGTAGCCCTTCGTTGTACATTTTGAATTAGTTAATAATTTGGAGTTTTTTAGTATACGGTGACCAAAGACTTGAAGCATATTTTGGCTGAGGTCTCACAATAGCTAAATAAAGATGTTTACGAGTTCTTGCATCCGTAATTTCTCTACCACACACACGCTTTATCAAACCAAGACACTTGTTTGCTTTGCGGAAACACATTTCCTCAACATAATTTGCCCAGGTGAGGTCTGATGATATAATAACTCCAACGTCTTTTGTGTAGGGCGCGTTAGGCAGATCTTCATCGCCGATTTTGTATTTTTTTATATCAGCCTTAATTCCTTTCTTGTGCATATATGAAACTTTACATTTCTCAACATTGAATTTCATTTTAAAATCGACACTCCAGCTATAAACACGGTCAATATCCCTTTGCAAGTCTTTGTGATCTGAATCCGATTWGATGACTTTGTATAGTTTTGAATCATCAGCAAATAAGGCAAGTTTAGAATCACCTAGAATATAATCAGGCATATCATTAACATACACAAGAAAAAGAAGAGGTCCAAGTATGGATCCTTGAGGAACCCCAGATGATACAG